ATTAATTAATTTATATGTCACAAGGATTTCACCTGTTCCCTTCCTGACCAAACCTTGTTTTATTTTTTATTTTTTACAATAAAATAAACTACTCTATCACTTTTATTTCCGTATGTTATTGACATGAGAACTCAGATGATCAACGGGAAAACAGTGCTAAACTTGCACACTGAAATAGGTATTCCAGCAGGCCTAGGAAAATATGGCTAGAAAAAGATGCTACACCTAAGGGCTACAGGTGGACAAACTATTCCCCCTGAAAAGTATTTCAAGGGTCAGATCACTAGATTCATGATTGCATTGAAAAGCTTTGAACGCTAATTTTCAAGATTGGATGTATTACAAAAGAAGAAAATATGAAAAATTCATATCGTTTATTTTGAGTGATTAGTTAGTGTCAATTTTTGTCTCTAGTGACAGCATGTTACTGAATATCTCATCAAGTGACCTAAACTACAGCAGCTAAAATAAGCATGCCGAAATATTATAATTTAGTATGATTCTGAGAAATGGATTATACAGTTATAAGAGATTAGCAATTTATCTATTATCTTACAATTTAGCTCAATTCTTGAATTTGAAGATCGACTGCTATATTGTTTAATATGCATTATAACAGATCGATTTGATGGTAAGAACTAGTATGTGATATGATTGATTTTAACTTTTAATCATCATTGCTAAGGAATACAATAAAACCATTCCAATTAATGATAACTCACTTATTGTATTACTTCCGCTTGATACACATGCTGGAAGATATGCTTTTAAAATTAGTAAACCATTACCAAAACTATGGTTACCCTGTAGTAGTAAAAGGCACATTTAAAATGAATATCACCCCTTCAATCTATTTTTACAGGTTTTTAAGATTATTTCACGCTTTTCTATATCTGCGTAACTAGGATGGTGAATTTTCTTCATTTTTCTTCAAACATTGCGTCTTACCAATATTTATTAGATCTGTCAATTTCAAGAAAACCGCGCCGCTACGTTTGAAAGTAATCCAAATTATGTCATTTTTCCCATTGAGCTCCATTATAAAAATGGAATTTTCAAGCTGAATATTTTAAAATTCTACGTGGTGAAAAGTTGCATAATGAGTAGTTAGTTAATTTTATGGTGTAAAAATTCAAAACAAAAAAAATAAAGAAAAAATGTCACGGAGAAGTCTCATTAACGTCCCTTTAACAGCAAAACTATTTAAGTGAGGTGTTTCACCCTATGCAGACAGAGCCTGTGGGAAATATTGGGTGCGGAGCAAATGAGCGGAGGGAGCGGAGCTAACGGTCATTTTTGAATTTAAATTTGGGATATTTCTGAAACTAAGCCGTTTTGGGACTTCAAATATACCAAGATATGTGTATTTGACACCAAATATCAATACAATTGTGAAAATAGTAGCGCAATTCATTCTATAGCGACGCAGTGTGGCAGTATCTGTGTGATTTTATAAAAATTCGGAAATGTTTTTCAGATATGAGCCCCCTCTAAATATTGGGTGCGGAGCAGCTCCATAAACGTACCTCCGGCTTAGTTTCAGAAATATCCCAATTTGAAATTCAAAAATGACCGTTAGCTCCGCACCCTCCGCTCATTTGCGCCGCACCCAATATTTCCCACAGGCTCTGTCTGCATAGGGTGTTATCGCTTGTTCCCAATTTCATCCGAAAATTATAAAATAACTTATTTGCCTGGAGATTTATCATAATCCTAATTTGTGCATAATATCTCCCTGCTCTCTTTCATGCTTTTGACAATGTTGTCTTTAGGACATATTTTTGTGAAACCGATGCATTCTTTAGTACAAAGTATAGAAACGGGAAAGGAATAGCTATATTGACTGAACCGTCCTTCAACCAGTACTGGACTGCTTTTTTCATTTTACATGTATACCTACATATCTCTAAGACGTTTTAGAAAAACAGGTGTAAACTCAATCATATTTCGTAAGACGTCTTGAAAATGGTGGTGTAAACTCAACATACCTTTTCTAAAACGTTTTAGCCAAAACGTCTTGGAATGTCGCGTGTAGTGTAAATAGTTTTTATTAAAACAATAAGTTTTCTTTCAAGTGAAGTACCCATGATGATAAAAATATCAATCAAACAATTCGAAAAATTATGAGGGACCCCATGTCAATATTTTTCAGAATATTGAACCTATTTACTCATAAGAGGATCTTCTTTTTCTGATTTTTATTGCATGAAAACATTATTCAACAAGGGATCTAAGACATGTTCAAAAATAAAATGGTATTGAATGTCTAGTTTTGAAGATATCAATTTCCGAAGACCAAAATCATGCTGAAAACAATTGATAGCACGAGTTTTCCCTATGAGAAATTGTTAATATATTGTTGAGGAGACTTTCGATATGTTTAAATTGTTTAAATACAGCCTTTGATACCCGTGCGATGTCTTTCAGATTCAATTGACCTTTTTCCATATAAATGGAAAATAGATGGCATCATGGGTATTGGAAGGGCTTGGGTAGGGCTAGAATACATGTAAATGTATTCCCAGAGTCACTAAATTTCTTGATTTAAGAAACAATTCCATTTGGATCAATTAAAACACCATTTGAATATAACTTGTATACGATCTTGTTGACATGTGGATTGTGATTTCACATTATAATTGTGATCTTTGTAATAATAAATGAACTTTTAAAGGTTTTTCAGCGTTGTGTCAATGGGGATTTAGCCCGACCATTTTAAGTCAACTAGAAAATCATTAGAATTTGAATAAAGGCAAATAATGGTGCAAATCAAAGTTGTTTTGATAGAAAATAACATACAGAATTCGAATATGCCATCAAATAGAAGAAAATGTTAGTCTTTAATGGTTACAAATGCAGATCTCCTAAAATTAATACGTTATTCGACGAACAGTGATCAATTGTTACACAACTTTTTATGCCAATGATAATAAAGGCGCTCAATCGAATTAGCAAACAGAACATTTGATATTGTTACATGCTGCTAATGCCTGGGCCAACTTTTTTCCAAGTTATCGGCCGGAATATGGCCGATTGAGTATTTTAATCAAAAGTGTATTTAGTTTTGATCAAAATAATCAATCGGACGGGCGCCGGTCGATGAATCAGGGCAAGTGTGACTCGGGCATCAATAGGCACATTAGCCCGTTATTTAGGTCAGCGACCGGGTTTCGCCTGGGTCACATTTGCTGCGATTCATCGGCAAGCATTCATTGGCCAGCTTTGTGAAAATAACAAGAATTAAGTTATTTGAGCTCGTCCATTAGCCTCCCTCCTATTTATATACAATAATTTTAATTATGATAATCCAAAGATAAGAGGTTAGGTAAACCGAAATGCCATACCTCCTATCTTTACAAAGTTCAAATTTCCTTTTGGGATTATCATACCACGTGGAGTTGGATACAATCTTTACCTCTACTTTTAATAACAACATACATTCTGAACAAATTCTAATGCTAATCTAAGGTCTTATCTGCATTTTAAACCGTTGTCACTCTTTTGTGATAGATCAAGGTACAACATAAACAATATGCCATTTATCGACAGTTCTCAAGGCATTTTCTACTCTTGCTTCAAGACTGTGGACATATTCTACAATAGCATATAGCCTACTAATATAATTCGTGTAATTCATGCAATGTTGAACACTACGAAATATTGATTGCATATATTATACATTTATCCCGCAAACTTTATTTACAATAAATTTCGATACAGTGAAATGTGCATGTTTTTAATATTTATATACATACAATATTTACACAGATTGTTCTTCAAAACAAAAATAAGTTCATACGAAAAAGTATGAACATTAATATTTTGTACATAAACAGATTTTGTTATAGGGTATAGCAATTTCAATAGCCTGATTTCATTTGAGCTTCCTCTAGTAAGGTAAAGCCTGTGTCAAGTACTAGTTAGTTTTTAGTTTTATAATTAGTTTACATCACACGCTAATAAGAATGAAAATTTCACAATACATACAAAACCAAAACATTTTCAGCCCAGCCGGCAATTGGCTTATGAGAGACTAGCCCTATTTACAATACACGCGACATTCCAAGACGTTTTGGCTAAAACGTTTTAGAAAAATTATGTTGAGTTTACACCACCATTTTCAAGACGTCTTACGAAATATGATTGAGTTTACACATGTTTTTCTAAAACGTTTTAGAGATATGTAGGCATACATGTAAAATAAAAAAGGCAGTTTAGCACTGGTTGAAGGACTGGTCAGTCAACAGAGCTATTCCTTTCCCGCGTCTATGCTTTGTGTTAAAGAATGCATCGGCTTTAAAACATAAGTCCTAAAGAGAGCATTGTTAAAAGCATGAAAGAGAGCAGGAAGATTTTGTGCATATATTAGGATTATGATAGAACACTAGCCTTGTTAGTTCTTCTTGATATTTTTTTAGATGATATTGGGAACAAGGGATGAGACAAGAGAAAGGACCATGCGACACATGTAATTAGGAAACAAATTTTTCGTTCAGCGCAACGCATAAAACCGGGCTAAGAGCTCTTAGCTAAAACCGCTTATAAAACGTTTTAGCTAGGCGCTCTTAGCCGAGAGCTCTTGAGAAAATCTGGATTTACATTACATTTGTAAAACGTTTTAACGCTGAAACGTTTCGGCCAAGACGTCTTAGGGCTCTAGTGTAAATCCAACAACTGAAACATAGTTAAAAACTCGTTATATTAAAGTTGTAAAACCTATTTATTAATCAATAAAATACTTTTGCGATTTAAAAGCAAATAGTTTACAATCATATGTTCGTGTTAGGTTAGGTTTCATTTGTCCTGAGACTACCATATTTAGCCTCAACATGAACATTAAGCCATTGAATTTGATTTGTTTAAATTATCAAAATGCATGCACCATCTATAACTGAAATACGAACATGTAATTTGAGAAATATATCATTTGCATTCACAAATTTCACACCAGTCCCTTCCCATAATGACATTATGTTGTTAGAATTTGTTTGGTGTAAAAACAACAAAAGGTATCGATCCCAACCGATCATCGAAAAGCAATTTGAATCATGGGAATGAAATACCTCTATTCGTGAGCATACGCATAAACTCGAACCAAAAAATGGAACCCCGTGCAGAATGTCCCTAGTGCTCTTCGAGATCGGCAAAAATAGCTCCTATTAACTGTTCTTTTGGGACACCCAATAGGTCGACCTTCGAAAGTGCGGGTCGAAGGTCGAAAGGTTTTTAGGGCATTCCATATTTTTCATCTTTAAAAAGTGCACCGATTTTCTTCATGAAAAAATGTACGTTAATGGTGCTTTATAAAGTACTTTCAAAGTATTATATATTATTGTAATTATATGCAAAACTGGTCCTTTGATTTCTTTGTCACAAATGCCTCAATCGCATGCATTTGTTCTTTGGATGGACTATGTCATGTTTTATGCTTTCAGAAATGCATGGCATTGTTTTCAATATGAAAAGTTCAGCATAAAGACTGGTATGCTTAATTTATTTTACAGAACCTGATGTTCTAGCCTTTTACGACCATGGTAACAGTATACACAATATACAATCTTTCAATCAAAATGGTGTTTCTGATGTGTCATTGTTTAAGTGGTATCGAGGCCGTATCCAAGTCCATTTGTCCCAAAACGTGTCGTTTCACTCTCTCATCCAGTGTACTGATATACAATTCTCTATTTTTTTCAAGCGATGGACCCCAACTTGGTTCAGGCATTCTCAGGAGTCGTAAACGCTGGAGAAGAGACGAATATGATTAACTTAGTGTTATGACATAGTACACTTGTATTCATGGTATGTTATGTTGTGTTCTTCTCGTCGGATCAAAAAACTATTTCAGGATTATTTGCGCAGATATAATCCTACAACACTTTTCGTTCCAAGTGTTTGTACTTTCGAACTTTTGTATTTATCTATTTTACATTATTGATACAAAGAACACAAAATAGGTGCACGTGTGCTCGTGACCTACTTACTTGTACAAAAGTACTAGCATCTGTGTTGTATATTCGATAGCATGCGTATTCAGGTATTGGTACGAATGATACAACAGCCAGTATCCATCCTACACCAATTGCCCAGTCAGGATACGTATAATCCCCGTATGTCACGGGTACGTGGGTGATGATTATGAAGCAAAATATGAACTGTAACGCAAAACATTATATATATATATATTATAACATGAAATGGTATGATATATAATATAATTTAATTTAATATAATATAACATAATACAATATAATATAACACAATAAAATACAATATAATACAAGACGAAACAAAACAGGACTATACAATGCGATGTAATACTATATGTGGCCATGGGATACTATAATACAGGAATTAAGATTGAGATTCGGGCTTGAGATTCTATGTTTTTTTGCGCAATATGCCATTGAAAATGTTATTATGTTCATTGTTAAAATACATTTGTTTTTATTTGATGCCCCGCGCTTTGTGTTGTGCAACTTACCAATACGAGACCTGGTGTAAGGAATCGCCAACACATCTTCCACCAAAGGCATGGTTTAAAACCAATCATCAACTCAATATCTCTGGAAAACTGGTTCATGCCTGAAGACATTAAGGGCATTAAAATTATGCATATATTAGAGGTATTCTGACTTGAGTGTTCGTTATTAAATATCATACATATGTGACGGATAAAAAGAAATGTCAAAAGTATTGGATGAACCGTTCAGAAGTAGTTAGTAGCTCCAATACTTATTTGGTATTAATTTGCATCAGTGGCTTCCCTTAAGCATTCCCTATATGGTCCTACAAGCCATGTTTTGATCTATCATATGACATTCAAATGGTGGACAAACGGTAAATCGGATTCCTATATGATCCTATAGGCCTTATATGGATCCATCACATGGATACCACGTGACCAAATACCAACTCTTAAATGTTGGATCTAAGGAGAGGATTGGTATGGTACAGTAAATGTTATAACGGATAGCACAATGATTAACCGCCGACGCATTGAATGAATCAATTTCAGAAGAGCGATGGTCACTGCAACATAAAATAATTTGTTTTTACCATATATCCAAGCAACTGCTACGCACTCTGTAAATGCTACAATCATTATAACAAATGTAACGGCGTACCAGTCCATCACTTGTAACACGTACATGCCGCCCTTAAAACAACCGATCGAATTTAAAACAATCTGTTCAAAATCTTAAAGAAACATTGAAAAGAATTAGACGTGTTAAGGCAATACACAAGTTGTTGATTGACTTGATAGCACTTGCATTAATTGCGTCCGTTTGTTCAGAATATCAAAACATGTTATTGTTGCATGTCAGTTAAATTTTGAGTTTTGTAATGATGTAACTGATTCGTGTAACATTATGCCATTATTGTATCAACATAAACGGGTGAGTCACAGACATTGGGATGATATATGATTCTTGCCACAAAGTTTTAAACTAAAATTGAAAAGCAATAAGTAAGTACTGCTTACTTGCATTATCATTGGTAAACCCAGGACAAATTCTACAATACATAGAATTGCTGTTACTAGTACTTTCCTGCTAGACAAGTTGAACTCGTCAACAACAGAGACAGCTATGCTTTGAACCAAGGTGAACTACAATCAATACATAATTATATCATTAGTAAATATATTTATCCCATGATTATTGTCTAACACCCAATTAATGACGAGTGTGAACCATATGATACTCACGATGCTATTAATAAAGAGTGTGATATTGTAGAGAACCATGTGATACTGACGATGATATTAATAAAGAGTGTGATATTGTAGAGAACCATATTATGATACTCACGATGCTATTAATAAAGAGTGTGATATTGTAGAGAACTATGTGATACTCATGATGCTATTAATAAAGAGTGTGATATTGTAGAGAACCATGTGATACAGACGATGATATTAATGACGAGTGTGATATTGTAGAGAACCGTGTGATACTCACGATGCTTTTATTAAAGAGTGTGATATTGTAGAGGACCATGTGATGCTCACGATGCTTTTACTAAAGAATGTGATAGTGTAGAGAACCATGTGCTACTCACAATGATATCAATAAAGAGTGTGATATTGTAGAGAACCATGTGATACTGACGATGGCATTAATGACGAGTGTGATATTGTCGAGAACCATGTGATACGCACGATGATATTAATGACGAGTGTGACATTGTAGAGAACAATGTGATACGTACGATGATATTAATGACGAGTGTGATATTATTGAGAACCATGTGATACTCATGATGCTATTAATAAAGAGTGTGATATTGTCGAGAACCATGTGATACTGACGATGGCATTAATGACGAGTGTGATATTGTAGAGAACCATGTGATACTGACGATGATATTAATGACGAGTGTGATATTGTAGAGAGCCATGTGATACTGACGATGATATTGATAACCAGTGTGGTATGTAGAGTTTTGCAAACCTATATGCGACTGATATCGTTATTAGTCGCACATCCGTATGATGAACAAATTCGATTTTTATCAATTTTGATTGTTATAAATTATTCAACCATTATTTTTACTCAGAAGAACCAATAGGATTCCATCTATTTCAACAAAGTTATTTGAAAAACCAAAATGTATAAACATGATTGTTTGATCAAGAAAACGTTTACCTGACTACCAATGCCGACTGTCAGAACCATCGTAAAAAACAACACGGACCACACAGGAGCAGCCGGGAGTTTGGTCACAGCCTCTGGGTACACAACAAAAGCAAGTCCAGGACCTTACACAACGTGAAACACTATTTTCTAAGCACTACTAAGAAAGAATACTTAATGTCTTATCCATAAGTAATAAGCACTACTAACTACTAATTCTCAGGAATAAAAAGTTCACACTTATCATACCTATTGAGAGATAAATATTGCTTATCCTCGGCCCAGGTACGTCTTATCCGTGTGTCATGTGACTACTGCGTTAATTAACTAAGTAAAGCATTTCAATTTAAGTGTAGTATGTTTGCATGCAGCAAGCATTTAATCATTTTTGATTTTTGATTAAAAATAACTCCTTTGGATCAAATATTTAAATTCTACTAGAGTGCGGGGAGTGGAAACAAGTCTCCATTCAAGCACTGAATATCAAAAGAAAGATTTCAGGACCCCTTAACTTCACTCCCGGACTTTTCTATTCAACACCACCCATCCCCCTTCCCCAATTATCCCTAATGATCCCAGAATGTTCGTTTCTGTGCCCCCTGTCCATGACCAGTAATTAATCTATGTGTATATTGTCTCCCTCCAAAAGGTAAGAAAAACCAGATGCAGACATAAACATTGACAAGGTGAGGGGATTTAAATATAAAAATAGTCTTGTTTTTGGCTCTGACTTAAATATCTTGACACTGTTTAACGAAGCCGGTTTAAGGAATGAGAGGCAGAAATAATTCCTAGATGATCTTTCTTTACTGTAATTAAGATGCTACTTAACCGCAATTTTAAAAGGGATTAAGTTATTTACCTTGTGATAATTTAATACTACTTATTGATTGGTTTGCCAAATATAATACCCCGTATAAGACCCTTGTCTCTGATTGTAAAACATCTGTATGCACCAAATCCGAGGAATATTACATTATGTGAAACAATTCCAAAAAGTTTTGTCTTGAACTCAATCAAATAGCAATATATTTCAACATGTAGAAATTATTTATTAACATAATGTCGGGCACTATAGGTTAAAGGGTTTTCAGTTTTGCTCTTTTTGTGTCACGCTTGAATTGTGTGCTTTATTTATTTGGGATTTGAATTTGGAAAGGTGAATTCACGATCAATAAAGTTTATAATATCATTCATTAACCAATACATCGAGGCAAAGCCACCTTTCAAATACATCATCTATTATGCATGTCCATTTGTAGCAATCACACGGCCCATACCACTAGGGGTATGTAGATGTTAATGAATGGGAAATTTTCATCTTTTTATTTTTATGTTTTCATTAAACAGCCAGAAAAGACTATTTTTCATTTCCCAAGGAATTTAAAATGTATCTAATATATTATACAATCAGACAGACTGGCTATTCTAATCCGTTATGAAAGGCCATTTGTTTTTTTTCCACTACAGGATGTTTCTTCAGAAGTTAATTAATTGTTTATCTTAGTGTTTAGATGCATTGTCCCTTGACGCTTTCATGAAATAAATGAACTTTGTGATGGACTACAATTGTATATTTTTACAGGAACAGTTATTTTTATCACCAAAGTAGAGCACTTGTTACATTATTTTCATTTTAGGTCTCTCTTATTAGTTGCAAAAGATTTCGGGTTTCAGTCGGGGGGGGGGGTGCGATTGTGACATAATCGGGGGGTGCGATTGTGACATGAACCAGCCAAAAATGATTTTTATATTGAATTTTACAAAATTAGATGCAACTTCATTCCAAATTGAGCTAGAAGCTTCAAATAAAAAGCTTTAAAGTTCTTTTTCTCCTCTTTCTCAGGGTCTTATTCTTATTTGCAACCCCCCCTGGCTAAGCCTATGGATATTTAGACAAGTTTCAAATAAATAACCTAGCAACCAACCACGCAAGCAACCAAGCAAGCAAGCAAACGACCATCAAAGCAAGCAGAAAACTAAGCAAGTAAAAAAAACATGCAACTTACAAATAAAGCAAGCAAACAACCGACAAACCAACCAATCAAGTAACTAATCAAACTCTAATCCAGCAAAGAAACCAAGGAAGCAACTAAGCAACAAAGAAAGAATGTAAGCAAGTAAACGGTCAATCAAGCAATCAATCGTGCAGATAAGCAAGCAAACAAACAATCTACCATCCAAGCAACTAATTAACATAATTCAATAAGATTAAAATTAAACCTTGCGCACATTTCCTCTACGGGGGGCGTACGGTGGCCGGAGCTTCAAAAAACTAGATACACGTTGAAAGTTCCAAAGTGCAAAATGTAGCTCTGTGCTTAATTTTGGTTATGTTTAAGATGAAACTTTTCAGATTTGCTTCACTTAATGCATATCCCCAGGATTTCAAAATACGATACATCTGTATGGAGACAAATTTCTAATACTTGTCCAATCAATCAGTGATATCAATTTCATTGTTTTCATAACTGGGAATGTTTAACTTGATTACAGGAGATCGGCTAGGAATTGTTTTTCAGGCTGAGATTCGAAGAGGCACTTTTAAGTAACGCCTCCTGGCGACTTAAGAATTGAGTAATATAGAGCTATCATATTGATTACATTTATCAATCACAGAAATGAAACACATTGGAGCATACATGAAGTTAAATAATTTGGGATGGGAGGGGGGTAGTGAACACACGGGATACTGAATTCTTCCTCTTAAACATAAACTTAAACGTCAGTGCTTGAATGAAGGCTTCCCCCGGGGCTTCCCTTTAACAGATTTAGGGAGTTTTACAACTAGTTTTACTGAAACTGAAGTTTTTCAATTGACTTTGTCATAACATCTTATTATAATACACTGGATATTATGTAAAAGTATTGATGTGTATTTCGTACTCCTGACAATCGAATTTCATATCAAACATTTGCAATATAGTTTTACAGTGGTATTAATTACAGTGTTATTGCTTCAATAAATGCAACACATTTACCAGATTTTAGATTGGACTTTCTACACGATGATAAAATATTTTGGTGATATTCTTTTCGATAAAACCCAATCACAAATCTCATGGCATCGACTTTATTAATCATACATGTATCTGCACATGTGAAAATGATCTTGCATGTAGAAATTTCATTATATGTAACCCCCCACAGCTCCCCCCCGACCTGTAGGATTAAAATGGAATAAGTGATTGATCATTGATCTGATAAGCCACTTATATGCAAGATTATTAATTTTAAAAATAGACCAACTTGATATTGTTTAAAGTTAGTTTTAACATATTTTCCATCGATATACGGTAGCATAGAAATAAACATGTGACTGTTTCCAGGGGCTGTTTGGCATTTTGAAGACAATCCTTTTGTTTCTTGTCACTTTTTAATGTGTTAATATTCAGCATTAAGTGTTAACGTTCGGCGGTTGGGATTTGGCGTTTGTTAAAATCGCAGGTCGTTCATTGCATCACTAGAAATATGTCGAGTCAGGGTTTGATTTTGCAAGTATAAGGGTATCATTTTCAGCAGAGATTATTATTTAAGACTTCATTATTTTTCTAATCCTCATTACATGAACTTTAGATTTAACAAATGATCAAAGGATGGCTTTTTGCACCACTGTTGAATCGGGGAATGATCGTGCAGCAAATCTTGAGCATATTCACCAACAAATGCGCGATTACCATTTTGTTTTACATGTAAATCATACTAGTTATTCAAGACCCTGTACAATCCACTTTAACAACTGTCAGGAGGGCTTGTAACTCGATTTAATCATACAGGGTATTTATTGAGAGGGTTCCGGGGGATATTGGTTATATACCAAGGGCAATGTGTTAAGTTTGAAGAAAAGTTTAAGGTTTATTCAATAAAAAAGAGATTATAACACATCAATTACACAATCACACCAATTCGTGTGATTTAGCTGGGAATGCCTTTTGTGAATATGTACATGTATATTGTGTGAAGGAAAAAAGATCGTCTGCGTCTAACAGTTAATTACAGTAGCAATGTTTTTCTAGATACTTAACTGCAGGTGATCAAAGATGTCAAATCATGGGAACCAAAAGTATAATCTCATGAAAGTTTAAACGCTTTAAATTACAATATTCAAATGCTTTTGCTTTAAACTATTGATTCGTGCTCTTGTGCTAAAATTTCACTATGTTGCCATTTGAAATAGGTAATTGGTATCTTCCGAATTTCCATATTTTCAAATAAGTCAGACTATGACTAAAGGAAAATAACTAGAATCAAACCCCCAAACTGGCCCCTGGCATTCTTAATGACTTGATTTCAAATATTAATATACAAGAAACAAACTGGAGACATAAATAAGATCGGGTATGGGAGATGAGGGGTGAGTAAATGGGACATTGTATGCCCCCTCTGTAACAGACCTTCAATACAAACTTGTTTCAAATCCCGGGTTTCAAATCACACTAATAGTTTTAAAATGTACAATTTAAGCAGTTTATTCTAACCAAACCTGTAATCCTTTAGTTTCTTCAGGAATTTGCAAAAGAAAGTATTTGAATTTTTTATTAGGCTCAGCATTATTTTGCAACCAAGATTTATTCATTTATATTGTATTTAGAAAAATAGTACATTGTATTTCAATCAGACAGACGTTCTAATGAGTTAGGAAAATACATTTGTCCATTTCCTCTCAGGAAGTTTTCAAAAGTAATCTAGTCGATTTGTTTATTTTAGTGTTTAGCATTGTTTTTCATAACTTGACGCTTCCATGAATAGAATGACTTTGATATTAGATTTTTTATAATTTTAGCTTTTACACGGACATAATTATTGTATATTTCTACATGAACGTCGCCCCCCCCCCAAATTACAGATATACAACTTTGGGTTGAGAGACAGGCCTGATGGTGCATCGGGGATGGTAACAATGTGGTTTATACAATCATTAAAACACTGCAATGTTTGTAGAATGAAAATATTAAAGAGGCAATAAGGACTGTAGAGAGAAAATTCGAAATTTTTTATTTTTTCTGAGCTATCAGGTCAATATTTGGCTTAATACCTTCTTTGACATACCTATTTTCATAAAATGTATGTATAAACTATCAATTTCAGCATTAAGAAGTGTAAATTCAATTCAAAGCTTCTATAA